GCAGTACTGAATCGGATAAAGTTTTTACCGATACCAACCTTAGAAAACATTTATTATAAAACTATTATCCCTAGCGTTTTGTATGGCATTGTAGTCTGGGGGTCTTGTTCTTCAACCTTGACGGATGATATTGATCGAATTCATTTAAGAGCTACTAGAATTATTTACAACCTACCCCATAGCATCCACAGTGATGACATCATGAACGCTCCACACTGGAACTCTATTGTTTCATTTTACATCAGGAGACTTTTAGTTATTACGTACAATATCTATCATGGAAATAGCATTGAGCCTCTAAATGACTTAATAGTGAAATCCGAGACTCCTTATGACTTAAGAAAATCCCTAAAAGTTAAGGTTCATAGACCAAGAACAGAAATGGGAAGATCTTCGTTTAAGCACAGAGCTGCACTATCCTGGAACCTCCTTCCCGAAGACATAAAGAACAGTTCAAACTTAACTTCCTTCAAGAGAAAACTCAGGGAAAATAAGAGAATTCTGAAATCTATCAGTTTTGCTAAAGCTTCCTGCAGCGTTTCCTACAAATCTGTTGACTTTAAATACTTTTAACATTTACTCCGTATTGTTATTAATATTTATTTCCTTTAATTGTCATTATTTACATACCATTTTCGGTCTATTCACTAATTAGGTATTTATTAATTGATAGTTTAGTTGATGCAGGTCCACATCAGGACGTAATGTCTTGCCTATCCCTCAACCTGCTTTATTAAATAAACTATGATGATGATGATGATGATGATGAACTGTCCTGTGATTTTGCACCACGTGACATAAAGTAACCAATAAAACCGCGCCAAAATTAATGGGTGGGTTATAATTGGTTATATAGTGCTTCTTATAACATACTGAAATTCATGAGTTATTTCAAATTGTTTTGATTGTAGAGAAGATTTTTTTTAGACAAATTCATGTCTCCTTCCACTTATAAACCTTTCAAGAAACCTATGAGATTTGACCTTTTAACTCAGATCTGATTGCTAAATCTCCCATTTAGCTGCTACTCATTTTCTTGTAAATTAGTTTTGAGAATTCAGTGTTAAGATCAAGATAACTTAACCAGATAAGTTTGAGTATTCTCATTACCTGTTTGGTGGATAATGTATGGATATTATAGGGAGAAGTTACGTGTTAATCACTACTTGGAGTTAAAGGGTTATAAGCTAACTTTACAAGAATACTCATTTCCCACCTCCCTTGTTCTGTAAATGTTGTCACTGATATTGTGAGCTACAGTCACGGTAGTAACAGGGACAAGGCCAGCATCACAATGAAAACTTGTTGGGAAAAAAAAGTAAATTTCTCAACAGCTAGCAATTGCCTTCCAAATAAAGTGCTCTTCAGTAAATAAAATGCAATTGTGAGGAGCACTACTCCCTGAGAAACCCTGTTGGATGACTGTCAGCAGATAGATAACCAACAGGCCACCAACAGGCCACCAACAGGTTACTAATTGGTAATATGCCTAAGAATATACCCAAGAAATACTCTTAATTTTGCCCATAATTTTTATCAACAAAAGGTTATGAAATTTAATGTTGGCATTTCTTGTTTTTATTTCTAAACAGAAAACATGGATTGTGATTACCTAAACACAATTGTACACAAAATGTACTGTGCATGTAAGCTGGGGTAAATTCACTTTAATTTGGCTGTAGTTTAGATTATAGGCTGCAGATAAGATATGTTTAGGTTTGGTAGAGTTTCATTCACGATTTTTATTTACATCAGGGAAACCACTAAACAGAGCTAAATTAAGTTGAGGATTGCAATGTTGACTTGCATGCACAGTGCACTTGTTCCAAAGCCAGATTATCAGAGGTTATTGGTGAGTTCAGTCACCAAATGAGGGAGAAATGTCTTTTCTCAACTACAGCATTTTTTTAAACTTGATTTCAAGTTAGCTGCGTATCAGTTGCCTTATTTCAACAATTTTAAGGAAGTTTGAAACTATTTTAAGGAACCAAGATTCAGTCAAATTAATGAAAGAACAACCTGTAGAAATGAGCAAAAGCTTGATTAATTTGCTTGCTTGTGAAGACTCAATCAGTGGTAACCAAGGGAAATTAAAACAACGCGGTAGCAGTAAGTAGCTTAAAATTTTATATTTACACATTGCTTCTGTGTTAAGGAATGTTGATTTGGCCAATTTTCTCCACCAATTTCATAGTAAACTGAAAGCAAAACCAAACAAATCCCTGGTTAATTTTTTTCTCCATTTAATCTAAAAATTACTTGATTTACCACAGACATACTTTGAATAGAGAAAAAGGTTTACAGTTGGGCATTGGGTGGTTCTGCAATTTTTGGTTACACAGATATAAATTATTACAGTCAAATTATTACAAAGATAATTCCATTAATTACATTACATTCACAGTCAGCCATTTATGAACAAAGATTCATGAAACAAGATACTTAAGTCACCATTCAAGAACCATGCAGCCAGGGACTCCATTCTTGGTAGGCAAAAGTTGTTGTCACAGATCTTAACCTTCTTTTATCCAAATATTCCCTATATGTGCTGTAACAAGTCCACATATTCTGTTCAGGATTGCAGGAGAACTTTTGCAAAATTTTGGTTTTAATTTTTCTTGCTTGAACTGGTGAAAGAGTCTGTCCATAAGAGCAGGCAGGGGTGAGTGCATGCCATCTGGCTTATTTCTTTATTTTGGGGGCCACGGTTTTAGCTAAAACAGTGGCCCCCAAAATATTTTTCTCACCTTGCCTTACACGTGTTAAAATTTTTCACAAATTTTTCACGGGTTCGCCTGTTCCTGTTCGTAAGTCCGGCCGATCCTTTACAGTCATCAGCCCCTGTAACTCTGGCTTATAAATACAGGCGTTTAGTCACACTTGTAAAACTCCCTGAAGAAGTCTACGTCAGTTAGAAGAGACGCGTAGGAAAATACAAGAAGTTTTACAACTACTGTTTGCAGAAGTGCAGCTCACTAGTCTATAATTAAAAAATTATTAAAAAATTGTTTTCTTTCATTTCTGTGATGTTTCATTTGTATTTTGGCACTCATGTTTCTCCAGAGATGATCATTTTATTAGTGGAAACCCTGTTGTGAGTCTGGAAATTAAGTAACTATTCAACAAAGTACTTCCTCAAGTCATCTCAGAAATGAGAGGAAAAAACTGTATTTATTGCGGCTGTAGAATGATGATTTATTTTAAGAGCAAACTTTATATTTAGAGATCAGTAAATTTCATTTTCAAATCCAAATGTGCAAATGCATAACAGAGGGGGGCATTGGGGTTTGCGGCTTTGTGGTTTAGGCTATTTTTTTAGATTGGTTTTTTCGTTTTTGTGCCAAAAAATGTCGGTTTTGCGGTTTTGTTGTTTATTGTGTTATGCAGATTTTCCGTTTTCAGCATTTGATTTTCAGTTTTCATCAAAAATTTTGACGGGTACTCAGATTTGGTATCTGATGTGCTTTTTCGGTTTTTCATTTTGGGTTTCCGGTTTCTCTTTGATCCTAGCAGCAGTTATTATATGCCTCTGCTTATCTCAAATAGCTGTGAAACCTGTAGCTCCACTTGTAACCATAGTATCAGATAAATGAGGAATTTGACAACTGAGACATGCAAATTTATCAGTTTAGACAGTTTTGCATACGGTTGACAGTTTTACGATTTTGCGGTTTCTAATAAACCCCAATGCCCCCTTCCGTAACAGGAAAACATGTCACGCAACACACAGACGTGTGTATGATTACCTGATAGTTTCTGTTTCCCCTGTGTTGCAATAATGAGTCAGCTTGTTTCTAACTTTGAACATAACTTGTTCAAAAAGTTTGCAATGAAACCACTTGGCTGTGCCTTGTGGTTTCTCTTTGATTTTGAACATCATTTCTATGATCAATAAGGTTATAGACAATGGAAAATTGATGTCAGTTTGTTAACTTGCTTGAGTGGTTACATTTTATTCAACATCAATCATCATACTATTTTCATCTACCTCTGGCCACTTTGAATGCAATGTCTAAGGCTTAAGATTTATTACACCTCAACTTATGCTCTCCTTCCCCATTTCATGTCATAGCTGGAATCACAGTGAAGGCAGCGGTGTAATGCTGACCGGGAGGAGAGAGGGTCAAACTAAATGACTTGGGGGACTAATATTGATATTTCAGTCACAAAGTGTCTCAATGCAGATCATTTAAGGTGGCTCGTACCAGTTTCCTCGCGCGGGGAACAGGTCACTCTTGCGTGACGCGCGCGAGAGAAACGTGCGAAAGAAGCGCGAGATCAAAATATGAAAATTCAAAACAAAGATGGCGGCGCGTGGAATTTTTTCTACTTTTGTGAGAAGTTTACCTAAGAGCTTGTATTTGATGTGTTGAGCGGCCACTATGAATGCAGGAGATAGAAACTAAGATAACGAAGACGATTTTCGGAGAAGTAAAGGTTGCTTCACTTCACATTTAAAAGAAATATTCAACCGATATGAAATCTTGCGACGGCGAAAAAAGAAGAACTCAAGTGAAGGATAATCTACCTGAAGTGGAAGAAGACTTTGAAACTT